ACACCAGTTTGACCATGAATAACGTCGGGTGACGAGTCAGACTTTTTTTCTTTCACATTGGACTCCACCAGGAAGAAATCCCGTGCATACTGCTACTTAAATGTTCACTACGTCAGAACTTATTCAGCAAATGTGTTTCCATCTCTGCTTTTGCGCATTAACTCTTACAGGATGGGGGAAATGGTCTTGGCGGAGGTTTGCACTCTCCGAGTGCTTCTAGTTTATTTAATTTTTTTGCCAAAATGTGACTTTATTTTTGTGTTTCTTCTTAAAAAGGAGTTGGGAGCAAAACAGCTTGTATGTAAGAAACAAAGAAAGAAGAACACAAACTGAATAGTTTTGTATCAGCTTATCAGTTGTTCTGTCTTGTTATTGTTTCTGCTGCTTTGTCTTCCTACCTTTGGTCCAAAACCTGGAGGCTGGGGTTTCTGAGGTCGAGTAGAAGTTTCTGCTAGCGTTAAGCAAGTGTAATATTGTTGTGCTTTTCTTATTTTATTAACTTTAAAAGTTTTATTGCTTTATGGCCTTGAAGGAACAATGACTTTTGTTCGTTATTTTTATCCCATTTTGTAAACATTTCAATTGACTTCAAACATTTTAAGCTCAGTAAAGACAGTTCTGTTGGGTTCAGAACTGTCCTGTCTTGTATTCGGGTTGTAAATTTTGAATGTTGTTTTTCTCACAGAGTTTCCTTTCAGTTCTTAGTTTTTTTTCCACAGTTCAAATAAAACATATGTGCAGTAAAACATATATCAGAAATATAAATAGGGATATTTTACAACCCCATTCCAATGAAGTTGGGATGTTGTGTAAAGCAGAAAAAAAGATGATTTGCAAATTCTTTTTAACCTATTATCAATTGAACACACTGCGAAGACGAGATATTTAATGTTTAAACTGATAAACTTTATTGGTTTTCTTTACAAATATTTACTAATTTTGAAGATAATGCCTGCAACGAGTTTCAAAAAAGCTGCGACGGGGTCATGTTTACCACTGCGTTACATCAGCTTTCCTTAATAAGTMTTTGTGAACTGAGGACACTAATGTTGAAGCTTTTAGGTGGAATTCTTTCCAATTCTTGCTTGAAGAACAATTTCAGTTTCTCAACAGTCTGGGGTCTCCGTTGTTGTATTTTGTGTTTCACAATGCTCCACACATTTTCAATGGAAGACAGGTCTGGACTTCAGAAAGGCCAGTCTACTACCTGCACTCTTTTACTGTGAAGCCACGCTGTTGGAYCGTGCAGAATGTGGCTTCATTGTCTTGCTGAAARCAGCAGAACATCCCTGTAAAAGACYTGGCTTGGATGGCAGCATGTTGCTCCAAAACCTGTATGTAGCTTTCAGCATTAATGTTGACTTCACAGATGTGACAGTTACCCATGCCATGGAAARTAATACACACCCATACCATCAGAGATGCTGGCTTTTGAACTTTGCACTGATAACATTCTGGATGGTCATTTTCCCCTTTAGCAGGCTTTGAATGTTCATGTTTTCCAAAAGCAATTTGAAAMGTGGACTCGTCAAACCACAGGACACTTTTCCACTTTGTATCAGTACATCTTGGATAAGCTTGGGTCCAAAGAAGCCGGCTGTGTTTCTGGGTGTTGTTTGTATCTGGCTTTGGCTTTTGTACTTGCAGACGTAGAGACGAGCTGTGTTCACTGACAATGTTTCTCTGAAGTGTTCCTGAGTTTATTTGSTGATATCTGTTWCAGAATGATGTTGGTTTTTAATGCWGTGAGGGATCAAAGGTCACGAGCATTCGGTGTTGGTTTTTGGTCATKGAGATTTGTCCAGATTCTCTGAATCTCTTGAGGATATTATGGACTGTAGACGATYAAATCCCTTAATTCCTCACAAGTGWACGTTAAAAAACGTCATTCTTAAACGGTTGCTCACGCAGTTGTTCACAAAGTGGTGAACCTCTCCCCATCCTTGACTGAGCCTTTTGTGGATGCTCCTCTTACACCCAATCATGACACTCACCTGTTTCCAATCAACCTTCACCTGTGGAATAATCCAAACAGGTGTTTATTTTTCTTTTGTCTTTTCTTTTAAATATTCCTCAACTTTTCCAGTGTTTTGTTGCCCCTGTCCCAGCTTTTTCGGAACACGTTGCAGGCATCATATTGCAAATGAGTGAATATATGAAAAAAAATAAAATAACTAGACATGGATTTTTACGATGTAAAAACAAGTGTGCATTGCCATGTAGCATTGGACTTGCAGAATGAACTTTGACCAAGTTCAAATGTGTTTTCTATACCAGCGTGTGCCTGCCACATCAGCAGGTGTTTGTAGTTAAGGTAATTGTGTGACAATAAGAAATTTGAAGAGATTTTTTGTTAAAGTTGCTTTAGTTTGATTTTGAACCCTGATCTCCCACATGAAAGTCCATGACATAGACCATTAGACCAACAGAGCTGTGGCAGAAGATGGTGGCAGGGGTTGGTTTGTATGTGTGCAGAAAGAGGCCACATTGCCAATACAATTATTGACACTAAACTGCATAATATTACAACAATTGAGCAGTATTAAGACAATATTATAGTAAAACATCAAAATACAATCATATTAGTATTGTAAACACTGAACTATTGAGATTAAATATTAAACTATGGTGCAGTACCAAGTTGAGTACAGCGTGGGGCAGTATTGGACCAATACAAGGCTCCATTGACTGCCATTATAATTCATTACTTAATTTTAACATTAATATTTCATAAACTATAAGTTTTACAGGCACCAAAAGGCATAGCCATCATTTGGCACAGGAGCTTTATAGATATAAATTACAATGGCAGCTCTAGGACAAAGTATGCAGGAGGAGAAACATGGCAAAGTTGAGATGACTTGGATGGGAAACGAATCACAATAGTGTGCAGATAATGATAAAAAAACAGCAATTTTTATCCATTTCAACATATCTTGTCTTTGTAGTGTGTTCAGTTGAATATAGGTTGAAGAGGATTTGCAAATCATTGTGTTCTGTTTTTATTTATGTTTTACCCAACTTCCCAAATTCATTGGAATTGGTGTTGTAGCTCAGGTTAATCTTGATCATATAAAAGTTTGTAAAGGCTGAGGTTGGTTTTCAAACTTCTTTACTGAAATAACTGGGAAAAAAACTTGATCACCTTAATTTCATTTGATTCAGCTAACAGTCGGTAGATGGATGGATGATATAAAGATAAATGGACATGAATTCAGACAAGGAGGGAGGAAGAAACATGTACCTGCGTGTGTGTGTGCATTAAAACGTCTGTAATCCCCGTCTCATCACATCTGCATTTCTCTGCAGTGGGAGGTGACCTTGCCCTCAGTGAGAGTGAATCTTTCTTATCAGCTCCTCTTCATCAGTAATCACACTCTGACCTAGAATCACTATGAGACAAGAGTCCAGACTTTCAGTGAAGAGAGGCCGTGGGCAGACTAGCTGCTTCAGTTCGTCTGCTCGCAAAACGCTGGATTTCTTTTGTCAAACTGAAAATATGAGCTGTGTGTGTTTAGACGCATTTACACGTGTTAACCCCTTCACATGAAAATCCCACCCACACTTCTTTCAGATCTTTTGAGTTTTTACTAGGGTTGGGCGACATTGGCAATAAAATTAATCATGATTAATTGTGGTGTTTAGCCGATAACGATTAATTTGATGATTAATCCCCTAGAGTCCCTGGACACCCTTATGTCCTAGTCACATGACCAATTATTGGGAAAGATTTGCTCTTCGTAAAAATCTTTTTCAAACTGTCAAAATCACAGACTTCAGGCTATACTTCAAATTTTAAATTGTGTTGATAAATAAATTACAGAACTTTTGTTTAAATGTTCATCATATTTGAAGCGGAGAGGAGCACCGAGCGGACTGACCGGGGAAATCTCCAGTCATTCTGCTTGGTGGCATTAATCGTATTAATGTTCAAGTGCCAAAAAATAATCAATTAATGATTTTCTGACGATTAATTGCAGATGATGCGATTATGCCCAACCCTAGTTTTTACAAATGTGTTTTACTTTCTCAGAAAGATAGACTTTGCTTTATTCATTTACATGAATTTTGTAGATTCAAAACTAATTTCAAAAGCGTGATATCATTTTTTACCCCAATAAACTGGTAGRTTTTGGATCACTTAGCTATAGCGATCCCATTACTACAGTTACACCCACTTTTACACTCACAGTTACACTCAACTGTCATTTCTCTTA